AAAAGAGACAGACATAAACAAATAGATTCAATATACTGTTATTAGTAGATGATGCAAAGATGCAGACACATTATACTGAAGACTCGAAGAAGGAAAGACCTGAACTTTCTTAAACAGAAGTCTCCACTAAAAAGGTAACTTCTAAGCTGACATTTGAAAGGTATTTATTATATCAACATATGTTTATAGAGCAATAATAAAAGCCAATACATGAGTACTTATTATAGATCAGCCACTATGCTAGATCCTAAAGACACACAGTAAATGAAACAGCCAGCATCTCTACCCTCATGGAGTTTATGATTTAATGAAAGAGAGACAAGTGAACAAGTAACATCAAGAAAGCAAGATAAATGCTAGAACAAGAAGTATAGGCTGCAATGGAACACTCAGCAAAAGTACCTAAGGACATCTAGGGTAGGCAGGGAAGGGCTCAGAAAGTGCAGAAACTCATAGAGGGATGAAATGTTCCAAACAGAAGGAAGGCCTACCTACAGATAAAGAATGCAGCTTGTTCAGGAACTGATATTTCAATATACCTTGAAAATAGTTTGAGAGGGAAAGGGGTTAGAAATGAGGCTGGAGATTTGAGCCAGCATCAACCAACATTTAAGAGTTTATACTTATCCTAACAGCTATAATGAGTCATTGAAGGGTTTTCAGCAGGGAAGAGACATAATTACATTTGTGTTACTTCAGCCACTCTGGGGGAAACAGACTAGAAAAAGTTAAAGAAGAGAAACCCAGGGTAAGACATGATCCTGGCATGAACTGGGATCTAAGTAGATACATGAAAAGAAGAGGGGCTTCCCTGGTGGCACAGTGGTTGAGAGTCCGCCTGCCGATGCAGGGAACACAGGTTCGTGCCCCGGTCCGGGAAGATCCCACATGCCGCGGAGCGGCTGGGCCAGTGAGCCCTGGCCGCTGAGCCTGCGCGTCCAGAACCTGTGCTCCGCAACGGAAGAGGCCACAAGAGTGAGAGGCCCGCGTACCGCAAAAAAAAAAAAAAAAAAAAAAAAAAAAAAAGAAGAGGATATATTCATGAGCCACCTAACAGGTAGTATCACATTACAACCCAGGGACTGACTCAATATGGGGCACAAAAGCATGGGAGAGGTCACATATAGTTTCCAAACTTCTTTAGGCCTCTAGATAGATGGCAGTACCACTCAGAGATGGGAAATGTTAGAAAAGAAACAGGCTTTGTTTTATTTTGGGGAGTGAAAGAGGGAGAGAAAGGTTAAGAGGCACTTACTGAACTGAGTGCCTGTGAGACCTACAAACAGAGATGCTGGTAAGCATTCAGATATAAAAATTCAGAGGCAAGGAGAAAGGATTAGGCTGCAAATATTTATGAGTCCTTGTGTAACTGAGGTAAGAGGGAAGAGAATATTCTGTGGTAAGACAAAAAAGGTCTGGAATAGAACCCTGAGACAGAATCCAGAGTAATACTAACAATTAAAGGGAAGGCTGAGAAAGGGAAGAATGAGAAGTCAGCCCAAAGGGTAGCTGGAAAACCCACAGAGTGTGGTTTGATCAGAGAAGTTAAGGGAAAAGTTTCAAATGCAAGAAAATCAGCAATGCTGTTTGCTACCAAATAAAGCAGTGAAGAAAACAGTCCACTGGACTGAGCAATAAATCCATTCATGCCCTGTCAAGAGCAATTTGAAGGCACAAGAAGCCATGGACGAAGAAGTGAGCGGGAACTGATGAAACAGAGTGTGGGCATCTCTTTCAAGAAGTCTGGTTGTGAAGAGAAGGTGGGAGGAAAATTAGCAACTGAAGGAGGACACAGGATCAAAAAAAAGGCTTACTTATGTGTACACAGCCTGTGTGTGTGAGTGCAAAGGCATCTTGGCATGTGTGAATGCACACAGGTGCCCGCAGAGAAGCAGGTTTAAATGTAAATAAGGAAGTAAAAATAGAGGAGAGTTTGAAGACTAAAAAAAAATACAAAAAAAAAAAAAATCACAAAACGAAGTCCCCAAGAAGGCAGGAGATGATGCACTACCAAGCACAGGTGAAGGGCTCAGTCGTAGGGAAAAAAGCACTTCGAGAGTTACAACAGAGATCAAAAGAACAAGTGTAACAATGGGTAAAAATATTTTGAAATCTGGGGCATCAGGCTGAGGGAGTTCTCACCTGATGGTTTCTCTTATGTGGAATTTAGGAGACAAGATCATCTGCAAGCAGGGGAAGACGCTGTGCTGGCAGAGGTTTGAGATAAGTGGGAAATGAAACAACCATTGCAGGCACCAGGAGAGTGTACCAGCTAAGGAAATAATGGAGTTGTCAGCAAGGCCGAGGATCTTGTTGAGACCTGTGGCCAAAATTTTACACAGGTACTAATCTGCAGGGTGCCTCTCTTTCTCCTGCTGTAGTCAGTATCCTGGGTATAGCATAAAAAGACAGACAGCTGAATTCAACCAGGACTAGTTTTGCCAAGCAGATATGACAGAATAGCAAGGCAAGGGACTCAAGAACACCTGTAAGGAAGTGATTAAAGTGACACATTATAGAATCTAACCCGCTCGGGAAAGCAGTCAAGATGGAATAAAGGCAGAGAGCAAAATCATAAGAGGGATCTAGGGACTAGAAAACTTGATTAAGTTAGAGAGCCTGTCTACCTGAGGAATAACTTAGTAAGAGGAAAGGAGCTTATGGTTAGAGAATAAAATGTCTGGATTTATGATTTCAGAAGTAGAGCCATTCTTGGCGATTACAAGGTAAAACGGCCCTGGGAAAGGATTCCTAAAATGGAGGGATAGAGATCACTGGACAAACATAAACAAGATGGACAAGAAGGGAGAACCAGGCAACGAAAATGTAGGAGACAGCACAGTATTCAAAGAACTTCAAAGAACTTCAAGTAGTCTGACATTTCTAAAACTTGAGTTAAGAGGGATCGAGATGAGGATGGAGGGGCAGGGAAGACTCAGGTCATATAAGTCATGTCTTTATCTGAAATGTAATTCACTCAGAATGAGAGCTGTCTGCTGAAGGTTTGAAGGGTCGAAAGGCTGGCAGATTTAAATACCTGAAGGGCTGGGAGATTTTTAAAAATTAGTCCAGTTCTAGGGTATAGGAAATGTGAAAGATACAGGGAAGCAGATGTGAAAGATACAGGGAAGCAGATTTCAAAACAAAAGAGAATGTTCTAATGACTAATGATTACTTAAATAGGTTGCCTTGAAAATTCTTTACTACTAGATAAGTGTCTAAGCAAAACTCCATGCTGGGACTTCCTTGGTGGTGCAGTGGTTAAGAACCCGCCTGACAATGCAGGGAACACGGGTTTGATCCCTGGTCTGGGAAGATCCCACATGCCGAGGAGCAACTAAGCCCGTGCACCACAACTACTGAGCCTGCGCTCTAGAGCCCGTGAGCCACAACTACTGAGCTCGCGTGCCGCAACTACTGAAGCCCGCGCACCTAGAGCCCGTGCTCCGCAAGAAGAGAAGCCACCGTAATGAGAAGCCTGCGCACTGCCACACAGAGTAGCCCCTGCTCGCCGCATCTAGAGAAAGCCTGCATGCAACAACGAAGACCCAAAGCAGCCAAAAATTTCTCTAAAAAAATTATAAAAATAAAAAACTAATGTATGTACATAAATATTTTAAAAAGAAACAAAAAAAACCCTCAATGCTGATCTACCTGTGATGTTATACAAAGAATCAAACAGAGCACCACTAAGTCCTGTCCAACTCCAAGTAATAAGGGACAGAAGAAAACATCACTCACCTCAATAACAAAAAAACAAACAACCCAGGGCTTCCCTGGTGGCACAGTGGTTGAGAGTCCGCCTGCCGATGCACGGGACACGGGTTTGTGCCCCGGTCCAGGAAGATCCCACATGCCACGGAGCGGCTGGGCCCGTGAGCCATGGCCGCTGAGCCTGCGCGTCCGGAGCCTGTGCTCAATGGGAGAGGCCACAACAGTGAGAGGCCCGCGTACCGCAAAAAAAAAAAGACAAAAAACAAAAAACAACCCAATCCAAAAATGGGCAGAAAACCTAAATAGACATTTCTCCAAAGAAGATATGCAGACTGCCAACAAACACATGAAAGAATGCTCAACATCATTAATCATTAGAGAAATGCAAATCAAAACTACAATGAGATATCATCTCACACCAGTCAGAATGGCCATCATCAAAAAATCTAGAAACAATAAATGCTGGAGAGGGTGTGGAGAAAAGGAACACTCTTGCACTGCTGGTGGGAATGTGAATTGGTACAGCCACTATGGAGAACAGTATGGAGGCTCCTTTAAAAACTACAAATAGAACTCTACCATATGACCCAGCAATCCCACTACTGGGCATATACCCTGAGAAAACCATAATTCAAAAAGAGCCACGTACCAAAACGTTCACTGCAGCTCTATTTACAATAGCCTGGAGATGGAAACAACCTAAGTGTCTATCATCGGATGAATGGATAAAGGAGATGTGGCACATATATACAATGGAATATTACTCAGCCATAACAAGAAATGATATTGAGCTATTTGTAATGAGGTGGATAGACCTAGAGTCTGTCATAGAGTGAAGTAAGTCAGAAAGAGAAAGACAAATACCGTATGCTAACACATATATATGGAATTTAAGAAAAAAAAAATGTCATGAAGAACCTAGGGGTAAGACAGAAATAAAGACACAGAGCTACTAGAGAATGGACCTGAGGATATGGGAAGCGGGAAGGGTAAGCTGTGACAAAGCGAGAGAGAGGCAGCACAGACATATATACACTACCAAACGTAAGGTAGATAGCTAGTGGGAAGCAACCGCATAGCACAGGGAGATCAGCTTGGTGCTTTGTGACCGCCTGGAGGGGTGGGATATGGAGGGTGGGAGGGAGGGAGACGCAAGAGGGAAGAGATATGGGAACATATGTATAACTGATTCACTTTGTTATAAAGCAGAAACTAACACACCATTGTAAAGCTATTATACTCCAATAAAGATGTAAAAAATAAATAAATAAAAAAACATCACTCACCAATTCTACACCTATTACTCCTGCACCAATGACAACCATCTTTTCTGGAACTTTTTTTAAAGACAAAGCACCTGTAGATGACACGACTGTATCTTCATCAATCTGTAATTTAAAAAAAAGATACAATCAAAATTATTTGGAAAAACCTACGGATTATAAACTGTGATCTCACTCAGTATAATCACTAAAAATACTAAGTCATTTATTTGCTTTGAGCTACTTACGACTTTTATCCATAGACTCAATTTTAACAAAACCCATTAAAAATGCTCACTTAAAAAAAAAATGCTCACTTAGAAATTTATCATTCAGCATTTCAAAACAAAATGGTCAATTTTAACTTCACATTGAACTGAAATATATCTTAACATACAGTGTTCTATTTCTGGTCACGATCACTGCAGAATAAAGACAGGCAATTTCCCAAAGCTGAATGACTGTCAACATATAGTACTTCAGTCAGAGATCTGTCATTCAAAGTTCATAAAGTCATTTATAAAACATATTTCTGTAGGAAGGTTGTGACAGTTGTAAAACATGTAAATACCGTAATTCCAGGAAAAGGAGTGACTTCTGAACCTGTGGCTATAAGAATGTTCTTTGTATCAATAACTTGAGTGCTGCCATCGGCTTTCGTAGCAGTGACCTGATTTTTCCCAGTTATCTTTCCATATCCATTTACATGAGCAACCTTTATAAAATAATGTTTATAAAATTCACAAAGTTTAAAATAATTTTTTGGAGAAACAAATATGGTTAATAAGAAAAAACTATTAAATAATTTATCCAATACAAAATACTCCCCTACTTAGTAATGCTACGTATGGAACAGCAAACGTTTTGTTATATGTATCAGGGAAACCTATTTCAGGTTAACATACTGTTTTAAATTAAATATTCTCCAGCAGCCAAGTTCTAATAACATCACTGTGAGCATAAAGCAATGTTAAGGTGTATATAAAATAAAGCAAAAATTTGAACATTAAACACACTGACCTTATTCTGTTTGAATAAGTGGGCAATTCCACCCGTTAAAGCTTTTACTGCATTACTCTTCTGCTCCATCATCTTCTCTAAATTCAAGCGAACTTCAGACACTGTAATTTGTTAAATACATCTTTAGTCCATAGCTAAATTCCTGAAGCAATGTGTGGTATTTTTCACTAATCAAGGTCTAAAAAACTGCAGCCTAATGCTTACAGAACTGTATAAAAGGCAGTATTAAAAATTTTTAATCTAATAACTGATACAATAATTGTAGCTGGCAAAAGGCAAACAGCATCCTATCACAATAACAGAACCTATTACACAATGTAAAAAGTCCACCTTCAGGAAAAACGAAGTCCAAAATAAAACATTATACCCATTATGACAATATATTCTCCAAACACCTTATGATAACTATAAATCTGGAAGAGATTTAAATTTAAGTATTGATAAAAATGACAAAGTAAAACATCACTGGAAATTGCAAACAAAAGGGTAAATTGCATGAAACTACTAAAAATACACATCTGAAAACTTCAAATACAGAAGCTTAATACAAAAGAATTTAATAAACTAGATTTTACTCACTCATTTAATTCAGAAGAAAACTCTGAAGCAATTCAGAAGATAAAGAAACTCAAAACTCAACAGAATTTTACATGTAAGAATACCTCAGAAATCAGCTCATGCAACCAACACATTATCTTAAAGATGAGGAAACAGAGGCCCTGAGAGATTTGATTTACCTAAAGTCACAGAGCTAGAACATGAAGCTTTACCTACAATGCACGTCTTTGACTAACCCTGTCTCTTCTTTCCTTTGTGGGTACAGAAAGTGAGTTTTGATTCTACTTTTTATCTAGCTTAATATATTTGCTTTAATGTACATACATCACTCCTATACCTTCCTGCCTGCCTACACTACAGCCCAATCTTTCAGAAACCTACCACTACAAAGAAATAAATGAAGGAAAATCAATTAACACCCCCCCCCCAACCAAGGTGTGTTCTGGCCCTTCCTAGAAGGGCCAAACAATATATCAATATGTCTATATCTATCTATCTATCTATCTATCTATATATATATCTGTAAACAATAATTGGAGAAAAAGGATGAAATGAAAACAGTCCAAAAAGAACGGCAGGAGATAAGACATAACAAATTAAAACGTTATGAAATGTCCTTCTTTTCCACTATGCTGCATCCTTCCCCCTCTCCCTGCATCTCTTTCCACTACCAACAACTTAAGGAGACTTTGCTTCCTTCACCATTATTTGCCCATGGCACTCAGGAATCCAGCACCTCCCAATGATCTCTACGTTTCAGGGAAATAAAAACTGACTCCTCTCTCCCTCCCTCCCTCCCTCCCTCCCTGCCTCCCTCTCTCCCTCTCTCTCTCTCTCTCTCACTCACTCACACACACACACACACACACACACACACACACACACACACACACGTTACCAAAGAAACACAAGATGTCACAGGAGGAATATGAATGTAAGCCTTCTTTCTTAAATAAATCTTCTCACATTAAGATCTTTGTCTTACTCTTCCCTCACTGAACATATATTACACACTCATGAGACACAAGTCAAGTTAAGCCAGAAGAGTCAAGTTAAGTGATAATATTGCTAAATATGAAAGGTATACATACTTTCAATTCCTCTAGATGCAAAATCTTTTCCATGGGCCATATGGTAATAATGAGAGTTATTCAATAAAGCCTAAAGGAAATAGACTCAATTATCAAATTTCACAAACTATATATAATCAAAAACCACTTACAAAATGACATTCTCTACGTGAAATAGCATATAGGACTACACCAATTCAGTTTCTGTTCTTACATAATTAATCTAAGACAAACAATAACGACTTAAATGTTCAACAAACAAGAATGAAAAAACATCTTTCTTTAAAAGCAATGAATTAAATACACACTTCAGAAAGGCAGGTTAAAAAAGCCATCATATTTTCATACATAAAGGGCCTAAAAGAAGAATTTACTACCTATTATCTGTTTCACTGTAAAGGAAAGCTAAAAAGAAAAAAAGGAGAACATCAGAGTCTGTCATCAGAGCCTAGCTCAAAGGCTAGGCATTCTGAGACAAGGAAGTTATTTCAGGAATGTATGGCAGACTGATGACAGTACTCTTAAGTTTTAACAAGGGAAAAATGTGTTTTTATCATCCCTGGTTTATTTTTTAATAACTGTATTAGTTTAATATTCTAATCTCAATATATCCTTCTAGCTGGTGGCTAATGAAAAAATTTCTGCACTGCACAAAACATATGCTCACCTTAGAAGGAATACAACCAACGTTCAAGCACGTTCCACCAAGTGTTTCATTTTTCTCAACGCAGACGGCCTACAACCAAAGAAAACATTATTTACTGCACATAACCTGCAATGTTTCGGTTCACTAAAATTCCAAATGTATCTGTCTTAATTCTTCTACAAAACACGCTACTGAAGCTGTGTTTGTGAGAATGAAATAGACTCCTTTATAATTTATTATTTGAATAATACTAACCCAAAAGCGAATTATTCTAAAAGATATTTTGTTTAACAACCAAATACATGTTTTTGGCTCTATTACTGTATCTTCCAAAGTGTGATTAGAAGCCAAAACAAAAAAGTATTGGGGAGAGGGGAAAAATAATGACTTCACTTTCCATTTCATGAAAATACTACAATCGAATAAACCATCTCTCTTCATTAGTCTCAGGCCTAAATATAATTTATAGAATTAAGAAATTATTTACCATTATTAATTACCTGCAAAGTATTTTGTGAATGTGATCAACTCTTGCCAAATGAAAAGGAATCAACACCTAGTCTGAGCCTAAACCTTACCTTGAAGCCTAACTGGGCAGCTTTAATAGCAGCAACATATCCTCCAGGACCAGAACCTATCACTGTTACATCAGCATCAACTACAATAAAAGCAAATTGATACAAAACAATAAATTGCTTAATACTGACCAAAAACAGTACATTAAAAAAAAATATCTTACATTTTACACCACCAAGAAAGTGCAAATAATCAGCATTTTTCTACACAGTACTATTCATTCCTAGGTACCTGATGTTCTTTGACATAACTGAAAATGGCACAGATTTTTAAATTTTGTTTTCTATTTATTCATTACAGCATACCAAAATATAACTGACTTTTGTACCCACTGACCTTGCTAAATTCCATAGTTTCATAATGGACAGGCGTTTACTAACATATCTGTCTGAAGGAAAGAGCCTGAGCTTTGGAATCTGACATACCTGGCCTCAAATCTCAGCACCTGTCACTTATTAGCTGTGTGACTAAGTGACCTCATTTTTCTGTCATATAGGAACAGTAACACTGTCTTAAATGATTGATGTTTGGATTAAATAAGATAATTTTGTATAATACTTTAGTTCTCTCAATAAATTTAAGACTGATTATATCCTTTTCAGGTACTTAACTTCTAAGATATCGGGGGAAAACTCTGCTTCCCTATAATGCATGGCAAATACATTTTGAACTTTATTTGAATAATGATACATTTTGTATACTTTAAGATAATAGGCTAAACAGAACTCAATGAACTATTCTGGACATTCATCATATAAAGATAAGAAACTGAAAATTAACTTTGATCAGTAGCCTGAGGAATAAAATAATTATGATACAAACATAAAATTAAGTCCAATTAATTATTCCTATTCTCCTCAATCCAACATCAAATAAAGCAACAATAACTGTTAAGAGTTAGAGACCGTCTCCCTTTTCCACCCCACAACTGTCATTGCAACCCAGCATTTAGCAGTTTTCAACACACTTTCACATACATTATCATGTTTTTCCCAGAACTTCCTAGGAGGACGGTAAGGATGGCATATATGCAATATATCACAGATAAAAAACACCAGGTTCAGAGAGGTCAATTAACTTGCCCAAGGTCATCTAGCAATCGTGTGGCAGAGACAAAATTAAGTTTTCTGTCTCTCCTTCCAGTGGTATTTCATTATTCAAACTACTCCATTCCTCCGTTTCACCTATCCCCAAGGGCAATAATCAAGCTTAATAATGACTAGCTATCTGACCTTAGATGAGTAATTTAACCTGCTTCAGCCTCAGTTTACTCATCTGCAAAATAAACAGTACAAGAAAATCTACCTCACAGGGCTGTAATACAGAATAAATAATGTATGCAAATAGCTTAGCAGAGTACCTGGAACGTACATACTAAGTATTCACTGTACAGTAACTATATTCTGACCTACAAAGACAGCAATTTTAATTTATCATCCCTCCCCCACAAAACCCACACCTCCTAGGGGATGGGAGTGTAGTATCATTCAAAAGACCTTTGCTGGCCTGAACAGAATCAAATAACCTCTATGTTGGACGACAACTAACAAGTTAGCCAACCCAGTTATCCACAAAATCTAAGAATCGTCCTACTGAATAAATCATAGTACTGATTCTCCTTGGTTATGTCAGATGATAATTAGGATTACTCAATACATGAAAAAAATATAGCTGGTCCAATACATGATAAAAGTATTGCTTCAATTTTTAACTGATCCATTTATGCTTTTTGGCCACAATGCTTGCTTGGTTCACTCATTCACGTTCAGAATTAAGTATGTAATAAAATGTATTTCTATTTTCAAATCTTGAACCAAATCGGGACCTAAACAATATCCTTTAGTTTGGGTCCTAATTTTTAATTTCACAGTAATCTAAATACAAGCTACAAAACATGTTTCTTTGCTGATTTTTTAACATTTTTTTGGTTATAATATACATGTTTGTTGATTAAATTTAAACACAAAAAAGCCAAAATACTTGCATTTTATTTCCCAATTTATTGTGTCATCTTAGGTCTTTTTAAAAACCGTAGAAAATACCAAAAAACAGTTCACCTTGCATTGAAGATACTAAGTGTACCATTCCACCAGAATCCCACTAAAGTGCTAGGAAGCACAAAGGTGAAGGGAAAAAAGAAGTCTTCATCTGAAGATTTGTCAACTCAAAGTATAGGAGGGTATGATCCAATGCAAAGCTTCAAAAATAAGCTATTATTTAGGGGAAGCACACCAATGCCTGCAATTTACCTTGAAACGCATCAGAAAAGTAAGAAGAATGAATGGATACATATATGGATGAACAGATATGTGATAATGTAAGTATAGTAAAATGTGAAGAATCCATGGGTATTCACTGTAAAATTCTTGCAACTTTTCTAAATGTCTGAAATTTTTCATAATAAAATACTGGAAAAACAAACCAGCTAGCTTTCACCTTTACCAAAGGCTGCTTGTAAGAGACAGTTTACAATACCTGATTCTGACTCACCATCTCCTTGTCAAGAAGCATTTCTCAATTTTAAAGCAGTTTTAAAAATCAGGATATAGAAAAGTAGTTAAACCAAACACATTAATTTAGGGAACACTTAATATATAATTTTACAAAACTAGCATCAGCCTTTAAAAGTGAAAAAGAAAAACTGAAAAGCATATACAAATTGATAGCATAAGAGAACAATGACTAAGCCAAAACGGCAAAAGACAACTGGATAGCAATCTTCATTTCAGGTGGCAGTAAAATACCAGGAGAAAGCTACTGGGTTGATACTTTAAGAAATACTGGGGTACAATAAGAGGTGACTGACTTAATCAGTCAACCGCCATGAAATGAACTGAAAGAAAAAGCAGGAAAAAGTGCTCTACAAGTTACTCTACAAATGTTAGTTATTATATCATTATGAGGAAACTAAGGATACCACATTATCAAGGCTACCACTGAAATAAAGGTGTCCGGTTACAAACCAACTGTAATCATCAACAAATTACCACACACGTTTTAAGAAGTCAGTTTGCAATATTACCTGCCACTTGGATAATTTACATGCCAGGTAGTGAGCTAAATGCTTCCTGCTGTCTTATTTAAGCCTTGGCACATCTCTGTTACACAGTTATTATTGCCATTTAACAGGGAGAAAATAAGGCTTGAGGGTAACTAATCAACCTATATAAGGTTGCACAATTAGTAATTGATCCAGCCAGGATTCAAGCCATATTCTTTAGATTCTGAAGCCTATGCTCCTACACCATTATGCCTCCCAAACACTCAGATGATCCCACAATCTCCAGGTCAATCAGGAACTCTAAAACGACATGAAGCTCTTCATTATCAGAATGAACTCAAATTTCATGAATGCCTACCCTATGGGGAAATCATCACTACCTTCAAAAACCTTACGTTAATAGTTAGGGGAAATAGGCACATATCAAAATGCAGATAAATCAAGATTATTTTTAAAACAAACAAAAAAAAGGAATAGGAAAAGAAATATAAGGCAGTAATTATTAATTACCAATTTCACTAAATGAGTATAAAAGATACTTGTTGTAATGTTTACTTGTTGTTTTGTTGACGGGGGGTGGGGGGCCCTGTTTTAAAATCATCAATAGCCTGGGACTTCCCTGGCGGTCCAGTGGTTAAGACTCTGCACTTCCACTGCAGGGGGCACTGAATCAATCCCTGGTCGGAGAACTAAGATCCCACAGGTCGCGTGGTGCAGCCAAAAAAAAAAAACACACCCAAAAAACAAAACGAAAAATACAATAAAATAATCAATAGCCTTAATCTTCAGTCTATTTCCATAGTCACAACCTCTACCTGTGATCACCCTAAACCGTTCAGCTTCAAAGAAAATCTTGAATTCTAATACTTTTACTTTCTGATGATAACCCTACAACCCTCTAGTCCATAACGAAAGAGAAACACAGTAAAAGGAGGATTTGAAGTTAAACAAACCTGAGTTCAAATATGAGCTCTACCATCTCTTAAATTCTTGGGTAAATTATTTAATCTCTCTGGGCTTCGATGCAACATAGGCATTAACAGTGACAGTAATATCTACATCCCAGGGTTGAGAGGTGAGAGATAAGGTATGTCAAGATCCTGGGAGAATGCCAGGTGCACACTGGGCACTCAACACGTTTCTTCCCTTCTCAGATCCTCCTCCCAATTTTGGTCCTGCAGCCTCCAGTCCCCATCCCCACCCTCCTCAGCTACCATGGTGTTACCTCCTGCCAAAACCCAACTAGGACTTTATTCTCTTGCTCCTCGTTGGTTTCCCTGCCTCTTGTTAGATAAAATCCAAGTTCCTAAATACACATCTAAATCTCTTCGATAACTATTTCTCCAGCCTCATCTTCCACCACATTCTGCAATATCATGCAGTTTAAGCTTCAGCAATAATGAATTACTGGTACCTTACACACACAGAATTGGGCTGGTCTATCCACATACATTCTGGCCCATCTACCTAGAAATAAATACTGACAGCATGTATTTCACATTACAGACACAATTCTAAGCTCTTGGGCTACCAATGAACGACAGAGCCCTGGTTCTTACAGTCTAATGAGAGAAAAAGTTATTACAGTAAAAACTCTGATCTGCAACCAAAATAAGCTTTAAAAACAAATCTGATTATATCATGCCCCTGCTTAAAACACTTCAATGACCTCTAATTGCCCTTAAAATAAAGAGTTAGGGTCTTCTGCAACCTGGAGAAGTCAACCGTCAACACATTTCAGCCACACTGGCCCTTTTCGGGCTCCTCAAATGCACTATGCTCCTTCTCGCATCAAAATATTCCCACACGCAGGTCCTTCTACCTGGAACACCTCCTCCCATACCCACTCCCACCCCAACCCTTTTCAGATATCATCATTTCCTTAGAAAGTAACTGTGGCCACTCCTGATCCATATACAGATATCATAACTCCCAAAGCTCAGCTGGGAGAATTGGGACTCAGTCGAGTCCTTATCACAATTATTTGTTGGATGTTTATATTCCCCAAGTGGACTGTAAACTATAAAGCTGCATCTTGTCTGTCCTGTTCACTGTTGTATCCCAGCAACTAGTCCAATAACTAGCACACAGTAGATACTCCATATCTTTTGAAATAATGAATGAATAAATTAACGTAGCAAATGTGACTGATGAAGGGCTGTAAGTCTATTCCTGTCATGAAACAGGTCATATCAACAACAACACACAATACTTTTCAAACTTGATGAACTTGGTTCATATTCAAACACCTCCCAGATGCTGTAACAGGGACTGTATCATAATAAGCTTGAACTCCTCAAGTTGGTCAAGCAATACTCATGTAACGAGGCAAGCCAAACAGAACAAGGATAAAGAGTGTAAGCTCTACAGTCAGAAGAATGTTCCCAGCTCTACCATTTCCTAGCTAAGCTCTCTCGACTCAGCTCCTCCATTCACTAAAGGGGGAAAATAGCAGCACATACCTGGTAGGAGAGCCACAAAGATTAAAGACTGTGCCTGAGACAGAGTAAGCCCTCAATGCATCAGTTAATATCACTGTTGCTGCAGGGTACTCACTGCGTACCAGGCATCATACTGGATGCTCGTGATGGAGCATAACTAAAACAGACATGGCCCCAGAGTTTATTCAATAAATATGCACTGAGTACCTACTGTACCATTTTTGGTGCTAAACAGTCACAAATCACAGTCCTTGCCCTAATGAAGTGTGCACTCTTGAGGAAAGTACAGACATTAAATAAACACCTCAGACAAATATAAATATGTACATAAAACGCTTCTTACTGCATGCAACCAAAGACTTTATGCACGGAATCTATACAGGTATTAAGGGATTTATAATTTATTCGATGCCAAGGGATCACTAAATTATTGGATTCATGAGTGTTCAGTTATCCCCGTAACATTACAATCTAAGTTCCTGCCCAGGGACTGCCTGGCAAATACAAGGTACTGAATAAATCCTCCTTGAATATGTAATACCAAAGGTGCAGAATAAGCCATGAAAAGTCCTTACTTGCATGCTCTGGAAATGAAAATCTAATATTTCTCCTGTTGAGCTGAGAAGAATAAGTAATAATCCCATTTAACAAAAGAGACAGAGGGGGGCTTCCCTGGTGGCGCAGTGGTTGAGAGTCCACCTGCCGATGCAGGGGACGTGGGTTCGTGCCCCGGTCCGGGAAGATCCCACATGCCACAGAGCGGCTCGGCCCGTGAGCCATGGCCACCGAGCCTGCGTGTCCGGAGCCTGTGCTCCGCAACAAGAGAGGCCACAACAGTGAGAGGCCCGCGTACCGCAAAACAAACAAACGAACAAAAAAACAGACAATTTCAAATACTCAATAGTCTTGGTACTGGGAGGCCAAAGTATCTTACTATAAACCCATTAACTCCCTGTTTTAAATACTTTAAAAAATAAAGTACATATCCTTTAGAGAAACTTCAAAAATATAGAAAATATAAAGAAAAAAGTATTCATAGTCCACAGCTTCATTTCAGGGCACATTCTTCTAGTCCTTAAAACGTACTTTTGATAAGCCCAAGATTTTCATTCAGCATGGAAAAAGATTTCTCACCATTCTAAACAGTGTTAAGCGACTAACACAATCTTACCCAGTGGACAGAATTAAGTTTTTTGGGGGTTTTTTTGGCCACACAGCACAGCAGGCGGGATCTTAGTTCCCCGACCAGGTATCAAAACCCATGCCCCCTGCAGTGGAAGTGCATAACTTTTTAAGCGTAAACATATAAAATCACTCCTCTGCCCAACACCCTTCAGTGGTTTCCCCTCACACTTGGGAGTAAAATCCTGGCCTGGCTTATAAAACCCTCCATATCTGATCCCTGCCTACCTCTCTGATTTTACACTCTATGGGTCTCTGCTCTAGCCACACCAGCCTTCTTGCAATTCCTTAAACCTCACAACTGAATTCTCACCTCAGACCCTTCTCACTGCTGTTTCCCTCTGCCTGAAATAAACTTCTCACTCCCTCACTTTACTCAGGCCCTTACACAGAAAAGCCCTGACACCATATCTAAAATAGCTTCCTTACCTCCCAATTACTAGCTTTCGTTTTCAAAGACCTCCCAAAATATTTCCCTGTACTTGTGTACTGTTTGTCTTTTACCCCCAGACTATAAATTCCATAACAGTAGCGCTTTGCCTCATTCACCACCGGGAACACACTAGATGCTCAATAAACATTTAAGTGAATAAACATATGAACAAATGAATTCTATGACCGATTACTTTATTGTTAGTTACTCTACCATTCACTTCCTTCTACATTTAAACACAAAGGAAATATGAGTTAATATGAGGAAAACCTGTTTCACTAAGTACTTACTTGGTTGATCTGCATAAGTTCTCAGTGGCACTGCAGAAACTCCTTGCAGACCATGAGATATTCTATTGAAACGGCCTCTCTGAAACAAAGAAAAGAAAATGTTCCTATTATGTAAAATATGATTTCAAAATACAGAACTCCTGAAGGTCCTTGAAAACAATGAGTTAAGGCAAATGTATCAAGCAATGATTATTAATGTATCTTCCATTGCCACAGATGTTACACATCAATTTCTCTTCTGTAAAAACAGTCAGCTTGCCACACTTTTCATTATGAACAGTCAACATCCCATTTCATATTTAACCTAACTAAAACATGTTACTCAACAGTGTTAAGTTTTATTAAATTTTCAGGAAGCATGGCTAACTTTTGGTGCCAGGGATCATTTTAATGTCATAACTAAAGTGTTCAAAGTTCTAGCTTAAGTACTTGGATAATTTCATTATGCAATCCTTTTACACGTGATCCATGTACAACCTATGAAGATGTACCTGAACCGTCCAAATTAATAGAAAATGAGACAAAATACCTTAGAAAAATGCACCAAGTGTACTCATATTCAAGAGCTACTATGGTTTTACAAACTGCATCATAATCTCCACAACAACCTCTAAATGTGGATGGCTACTATTTCCTAAGAACAGTAAGGCACAAAGGAACAAAGCAAATAGCTCCTATCACAGAAGGCAAATGGGAAGCAGTGACAAAACCTACACTGAGCTAGTAACGTTGTCTATTTCAAGGCAATTCTTGCACCTGAGGTCAGGACAGCGGTCCAAAGAACAGCAGAATAAATATCAGTCCTGAGCTGTAGTCCCACCTCTGCCTTTCACTAAAACTACGACTTCTAGCATGTTACATTAACTTCGGAAAACATAAGCTACTCATCTTTGAAACAAAGGAGTCTGACTGCTGTATGATTTTTAAGGTCTGCATCAATATTGTATCCAGCCACGATCCCACATATATACACTTTGGCTGTATTTGGTACATAAATGAAAAAGGAAAGCTTTCCTGAGAATAACCTGTTACAATTAAAAATACAAGCTTCTAAGAGGGAAGTCTACGCACACTAGCTTAAAACTGCAAACACTGAAGGGACCTTAGAGGAATTCCTAGGGCTACGTGTTAGGGCTGACTCGGTCTGGGTCCTTCAAGCGGTGGCCCAAGGTTACCTGTCCACTACAGAAAGGCCACTCAGGGGCCGGGACGAGGATGAGCAAAAGGTATGAAAAAGAGTCGACCATACGGGGCAAGGTAGACTCACACTTCCTCCGCCAACGGGGCAAGGCCTATGTGCGACCGCCAGGCCCCACGGCCCAGGCTTGGGAGGGAACTGTGTGTGACTGCTGGCCGTCATACAACCGGCAGGGCCTCTCCACCGCCCAGGCCTCTGCCTCCGAGCCGCCGCCCGGGCTGAGCCGGTTCAGGGGTGGAGCCGCAGCTGGTCCCGGCCTGGCCGCCGGCCTCTCCCACCCCAGCCACTTAGGCCGCGTCCCGGAGCCCGTCAGCGGGCCTCTCTGTGCCTCTAGCTCAGCACGACCCCACCCAGTAGGCCTTCACCTTAGCCAAAGAACAGTACACACGACTCCAGCTCTGCATCTTGCCGCTGGACTTTCCTTTCCGCCAAAAGCTTTCACCTCCACTAAGCGTCTCCGACCCCTCGCCAAGGTCTCCCCGCTCTGCGCATGCACGAGCGCGGCCTACGTTATCGGTCGGGCGCCGCGCGATTGGCCCGCGCCGTGCGGACCAGTCAGGCTCGGCGTCGTACACTGCCGTAAGGAGCGTAGTGCTTTGTGGCAGCGGGGAATGAGGGACCGTTCTAGGGGAATGAAAGTGTCCGGAGTTGCAATGTGATCTTATAGAATACTTGAAAGGCGTTTGCTATCGTAAAGCTATCGTTTGCTTAAAGAACACTACAAAAAGTAAAGTTTCACCAGTTCTTGATGCTGCTGGGCTGAGGAATCTCAGCACTTTCCGGGCACTATCTCACTTTATCCCTAACTATACGAAGGATTCCGAGTATTTCTACTTCTTGGATGAGGCCCTGAGAGGTTAAACAACACCCCCAAGGTCTCACCAAGGACAGATAGCTGCAGCCCTGAGGTCAAAGCCTTTAGTCTTAATTACTGCTTTATAATCTCTCCTTCAGTTCAAATGCCATGTAAGAGATGAGGTCAAAGACTGTGGTATCCCCGGCATCCTGCTCTAAGTAACTAAGATAACTGGCAATGTTTAGAACACACACTATCTTCTAACTCCTCAGCTGGGAAACACACCGCCCTGTTGAAGCAAATTGGTGGGGTGTGATATCATACTTTTTAAAGAGACACTGAAAACCATTGTCCAGAACTGAGCACGGAGATCTAAGCTCTGATCCTTGCTTTGCAATAACTCTGTATAGCGTGGATAAAACTTAATTCTACATTTCTTGAAAATTTACTGCCCAGGCACTGTGGATTTAGATACTAATTAGAAATTAATGGGAATTCCCTGGCGGTCCATTGCTTAAGACTCCGCATTCTCACTGCCAAGGGCCCAGGTTCATCCCTGGTTGGGAAACTAAGATCCCATAAGCCTAAGCCGCGCAGCATGGCCAAAAAAGAAAAGGAAAGAAAAGAAATTTAAAAATTACTCCTTGCTGAGGTAAGCTGTTTTAGGAGAGAAGATATGAATGATATTTCGTGTTTGTTACAGAGGCTACCACTTTGTACTCAATAACCATTCTCCCTCTTCTTTCCTCTGTAAATAAGCATTTTGGCCATCTTAACCATTTTCCTGCCTTTAGCACCCACCTGCATACACTGATAATGATAACGCTAGATCCTTAGCTCCTGTCTCTACTTCTCTCCTGGACTCCAATTCCATATTTTCAGCTGTCTACTGAACACATCCAACTGCGCGGTTCTGCCAGCACCTCAATGGCAATTATCTAATATCTAAAATATTAACTACATATTGTCTCCTTTATATTTATAATTCATTGATACCTCCAAATAGCCAGTCAACCATAGGAAAAAATATCGTAGCCATTCTCAATTCTTCCCTTTATCCCAATATCTAATTAGTCACTGTTTTACTTGACTACATCTAGAAGCAGAACTGGAGACAAGCATTTGAGTGCAACAAGTCTGTTGGAGAGATAAACCAAGAAAGCATCAGTAGAGGATGGAAAAGAGATGGAAACGATTTCAGTTACATTAATGACTAGATTACCACTGTGGGCAATTGTGTCTCAGACTCAATGGACACCTCTGGAAGACAGCATACAGCATGCTTCAGAGTTTTCCTACCCAAAATATATCCATCAACTTCCATCAGGCTTTGGATGAGGACTGCTCGTAGGGATTTTAACTCCCCGGCACATCTGGCCTGCCCTGTAAGTGGGCTGAGTGAGCGCACCAACAGCTGGAGAAATCTCTCAGGCAAAGAGACCCTGGTGCTTCCAATAAGAAGGGTTTGGGTGAACATGAAAAGAAAAAGTGAGTGCTAAAAGGATACAGGTGAGACACCAGTAAGGTTGGCAACAATCACCAAGTTCTATCAATTCTGAAAGTGAGAATAAGGGTGAAGGAAACGATGATGGCTCCAAAGTTTCTACCTTAGATGGCAGGGTGGGTAGTGAAATCAATACAGAAATAGGCAGTCAATACAGAAATAGGAGAAAGAACAGCTTTGGGGAGAAGATAAGTTGGAGACAGAAGGCTCCCCTAAGAAAACGATGCTCAAGCTAAAATCCAAGCAATTTGTAGGAGTGCTCCAGGCAGTAAGCATTATTATCATACCCATTTTACAGATGGGAAAGAATGCAGTGAGGAGAACTGGAATGACAATTAGGAGATCAAAGTTCTACACCTGAATGCTCTTCACTTTCTGTGTAATCTAGTATAAGTCGTATCTTGGGACCTTGGTTGCCCAAATTTTCAAATGAGGGGCTACAAGCTCCCTTTGAGCTATAAAGCTATTCCACTGAGCTGTATAGAGTTGGCTTCCAGAGAACCACATAACAGTCACATCTGTAGCAGAGGTTCGTTACTTTGGCGCTGTCATCTAGAGGAAACCTCACTCCATGTTTGAGGGATCTGTCACAGTGTGAGATCACACTCCACTAGGAAGCCCAAGTGTCCCTCCCTGGCTCTCCTGACTCCCAAGAGGTAGAACAGGCACAGAACCTAAGCCAATCAGATGCTCCTCCCAGGACCAAAGTCAGGAGTGGCACAAAGAAACTGACAGCTTAGAATTCATGCCACTAGCAGCTGCTTGGTGGCCAGTGGTGACATTCAAACCCTACCTGTGGAAAATCTCAGCTGGGGCCACCTATCTTCCTGCCTGCTTCTCAAAACTTCACATTGGTTCTTTTGCTATCAGACAGCTTGCCAATAAATTCCTTTTTGCCAAAGTGAACCAGAGATGATTTCTCAGAGATTATTTGCAATCCAGAAACATGACTAGTACACTACCATTTATTTAAAAGCTGCTGTGGGGCTTCCCTGGTGGCGCAGTGGTTGAGAGTCTGCCTGCCGATGCAGGGGATGCAGGTTCGTGCCCTGGTCCGGGAAGATCCCACATACCGCAGAGCGGCTGGGCCTGTGAGCCATGGCCGCTGAGCCTGTGCATCTGGAGCCTGTGCTCTGCAGCGGGAGAGGCCACAACACTGAGAGGCCCGCGTAGTGCAAAAAAAAAAAAACAAAAAAAACCTGCTGTGTACCAGACACCTTAAATGAACTTTAAAGAAATCTCATAAGATTGCAAGATAGGCATCATTAATCCAGTTTTTAAGTAAAGGAAACAGGCTCAGAGAGTTTAAAAAACACACCTAAGCTCATGCAGTTAATCAGCAGCAAACCACAATGTGCCCCTGCCTCTTGCACAATTCTGTGCTACACCTATTCATGCTGGACACAGCACTAAGCAGTGAGGAAGAGAATTCCCTGGCTCCTTCTTTCTACTACCTTGTTCTCTTGCGGGGGAAGTCCTCATCTCTGGCACTGGCCGGCCTTGATTAACTCAGGATTGGTGGGGTTGAATTTCTCCATCTATTTGGACACAAACAGCCCAAATGGTCTCAGGTGTACTGCCCATAGAGCCCTCTCCCCTGGGTAGTTCGTGGTTTTACTGTAGCCAAAATTCGGCCTCTGTACATCGGTACCGAATTGAATCTTGGAGACAGAGTTTTGTGTGAAGTAGAAAAGAAGAGCGTTATTGCCTTGCCAGGCAAAGGGGGCCACAGAGGGCTAAGGCCCTCAAAAACGTGTGTCCCGGGGGCCTCCCTGGGGCCTCCCTGGTGGCGCAGCGGTTGAAGTCCACCGGCCAAAGCAGGAGACATGGGTTCGTGCCCCGGGCCGGGAAGATCCCACATGTCTCTGAGCGGCTGGGCCTGTGAGCCGTGGCCGCTGAGCCTGCGCGTCCGGAGTGTGTTCCCTGCAACGGGAGAGGCCACAACGGTGAGAGGCCCACGTACAGCAAAAAACAAAACAAAACAAAAACGCCGTGTATCCCTACCCAGAGGGGATACAGAGGAATTTTACAGTAATGCTTCAAAGAGGAGGGCGTGGTCAACACGTGGACGTTCTTCTGACTGGTTGGTGGTGAGGTAACTGGGAGTCAGCATCATCAACCTTCTAGTTCCTGCCGGTCTACGGTCTATGTCCTTATGGTCAGCATGCAGTCAACTTCTTTCACCTACTGGGGATTTTAGCATCTGCAAAACAGCTCAAAGATATTATACGTATCCCTTGAGGGGGAACCAGGACCCTGCCCCCAGGCTTCACTATTGTATCTTCCTTAAAAAAAAGTTATTTTTGGCTGCGTTGGATCTTCATTGCTGCAGCGCGGGCTTTCTCTAATTGCAGCGAGCAGGGGCTGCTCTTCATCACGGTGCGCGGGCTTCTCATTGCAGTGGCTTCTCTTACTGCGGCGCATGGGCTCTAAGCGCCTGGGCTTCAGTAGTTGCAGCACGAGGGCTCAGTAGTTGTGGCACCCTGGCTTAATTGCTCCCCGACATGTGGGATCTTCCTGGACCAGGGCTCGAACCCCTGTCCCTTGCACTGGCAGGCAGATTTTTTTTTTTTTTTTTTTTTTTTTTGCGTTACGCGGGCCTCTCACTGCTGTGGCCTCTCCCGTTGCGGAGCACAGGCTCCGGACGCGCAGGCTCAGCGGCCATGGCTCACGGGCCCAGCCGCTCTGCGGCATGTGGGATCCTCCCGGAACGGGGCACGAACCCACATCCCCTGCATCGTCAGGTGGACTCTCCAACACTGCACCACCAGGGAAGCCCTTCACTATTGTTTCTTTTTACATGAGTTTTTTTTGTTTGTTTATTTTTGTTTTTGCGTTACGCGGGCCTCTCACTGCTGTGGCCTCTCCCGTTGCGGAGCACAGGCTCCGGACGCGCAGGCTCAGCGGCCATGGCTCACGGGCCCAGCCACTCCGCGGCATGTGGGATCTTCCCGGACCAGGGCACGAACCCGTGTCCCCTGCATCGGCAGGCAGACTCTCAACCACTGCACCACCAGGGAAGCCCCACTATTGTTTCTTGACTGCTCCTCCCTTGTCTCCATATCTGATTAGCAACTGTTTGAACCTGCCTTTGGAACTCAGGGAAGGTCATGGAGGCTGAATGAAAACTATTTCCTACAAGCAAGAAACAGGGGACACAGAAATACTTTTGTGCCCAGGGGCCTCACAG